ATGATATAAAAACTAATGATATAAATATACTCAGCGAAGAATAAACATAACGCAGTCAAGGGATGTTGTTGTTGAAATCACTTTCATTGTCATTTCATCTAATTCACCTCAAGAAAAACGTTCTGTGGTATACAGGAAGAGACGAGGAGAAGACATCATTAGCAACTCAATGAATCAAACCGGCATATATCGACTCGAAGAGTATTCACAAAATTCCGCCCACCATTATACAAGAATCGACGTTTATCTCCGGCTTCATTATATAGTTTATTGGTTGTATTTCCGCGGCCTCATGAAGTTACTTCGTTATTTTTCAAAGTTGTCTAACTACTTCATTTTTTGTATTGTTCTCCAAGTTTTGGCATCGCGATTGATATCGCGAGAATTGAAATACTATTTTAGTGCAGAGCTTCGCCTGACCAGTAATAAGGCATGGACCTCTACCTGATGGCTTCCAGTGCTGGAGATGTTATTAAAGCACGTGACCGCCATATCATCATCATCACTAGGAGTATCTCTTGTAATGCCTATAAGTCTTGGTGCTATAAGTGAGTCCTCTACAGTGGAAAAATCCATTTTAAACTTGTGGCGTACACAGTGAGCACCAGGTTTAGTCTCAGTCATCGTGACTTTACAGTACAACGAGGGAAGAGCGGGGCCCATCACTCCCAAGATCTTGGCGCCCCCATCCTGCTGCCGTAAAGAGACGCATTTCAAGTCGTCAGACATCGCCAAATCAGTGATCTTCATTTTTTTWAAAGTCTTGCTACGACTGCGTCTTGTGCATTCTGATAACGTCCGACAAGGTAAWTTATTTTCCATATTGGGTTCATTCCATACATTGTAATTCCWTTCCCCTTTTCGGCTCTTAAAAAGTTCCTACAATTTGAAAACTGAAAATCAAAGATGGCGATCCATGATGAGCGTGTAAGAATAAAAAATAGAATAAATAGAATAAATAAAGTAAAGATTATCTCAATATTAGCAAACCTCTCTAACAAACTCCCGCCTCATCCTCGTCAATGCGAGATTTTTTTTCCCTTACTTAGAAAATCTTTGTGTCATTTAATTGTTTTGTTTTGAATCGAAAACTGGAGATATCAAACACAAAGCAACACACATAGTGTTTTATTATTATTCAGATCTTTGTTTTGCAAAAACGAAAAAAGTTTATGATAAAAGATAAAAAAAGCTACGCATATAAATTGGTAATTGATAGTTCTTGCTGTCAATACATAACTTTCCGCGCCGGGATGATCAGCTTTGTCCTATGACACTCCTGCTGCCCCTCGGACAACTACCGTAAGCCACTGTGACGGTAGCCTTTCTCTCGCATTGTTCAAAGGTTAATTATTTCTATAAACAATGTTGGTTCGATGAAACTATGTTATAATCACGAAAATCAATAATGTGTTTTGCTATAACTAGAACTCGCGTGAGTTGTTCCAAGGGTACGACGTATTCTCCAGAATCGTAATATCACTCCAGAAATTATCTATTTAAGCTATTCAATTTAAAAAATTAAGAAATTTCTCCTTCAATATATTAATATATTAATCACGGATAAAATATCAAATATTTTTTTGGCAGTTAACACAATGACGTCATGCTTTTGAGAAGTAATCATATCTCTTCTACATCTTTCGCATAAGAATATCATAAACCGGTATACTTCGTTTAGAAGTCCAAAGTACATCGTTGAAGAGTCTTTTAAGCCATGAAGTAGGGATGGGGAATTCATTTTGATATGATGTTTTGCCGAAGCTTGTTATATGTCGGTGTTTTGCCGCCACCGTTGTCGTGGCAACGCTTTCAAGCTACGTGTCGTGCAGTGCATTGTGGATGAAGGTGGAGAAATACATTCAACAAGAAGAACAGAGAATTTCGGCACTTTGAATCTTGCTTCAAAACTTTGGCTTCACTTGAATGGAAAGCTAAAGAAAGACCTGATAGGAAACGAAGACACTAAGCTGTGTTTGACATAGCCACTTGAAGCACTGGAGGCTTACAGCTGGATCGCTTCTTGCATCGAATGACACAGCACCGCCGTCACGTTATGTGCAGTCCTCAAATGCAAGCGTGAAAATATAATATAACACTGTTGAAAATATAGCTGTGATATATCCTGTTATCTTAGCTGAAGACATTTAGCTTGAAATAAAGTCGCCAGTGGCCTAGGCGTTTTAAAAATTAAGCAGAATGAGGGAAGAAGATGTTGAAGTCGCCATCAAGGTAGTGGTTGTGGGCAATGGGGCAGTAGGAAAAAGTAGCATGATTCAACGATACTGCAAGGGGATATTTACTAAAGATTACAAGAAAACCATTGGAGTGGACTTCCTTGAGAGACAAATAAGGTAAAGAAGTCTGTAGTGAGATGCAAATAGGTGTGTTTCTTCGATTTGCGACTAGACAATAAGCTTATATTCCGGCTGTTTTGTGTACATGTTTTGAAGTGTTGTTGAGTAAGCGAGTGAACATTTCTAACATTCTCCAAATAGAAGTATTTGCATTTGAACCATTTCTTTTAAATTTTCACAGTATTAATGGCGAGGATGTACGTCTAATGTTATGGGATACGGCCGGGCAGGAGGAATTTGATGCGATCACCAAAGCCTATTACAGAGGTATATTATGAAATTAAGCTTACTTGTTGCTGCAAAACTTTCAATTTGCACATTAATTTTAATCACTCTGAAACGAAAATAAGGTGTGCATCTGACTTTTTTATAAAGAACACATTGATTCTGAAAATTTTGATAAATTGTTTTTAAAAAAAATAGCTACTTTTCATTTTTCCCCGTTATAAAAGTTGATGTTTTGCATGTTCTATAATATAATTAGTAGGGACTGTAAATTATCATTTTAATGAACTGCCTAGGGTATAGCTTCTAATGCCAGCTTTATTATGTTATTTGATTGGTAACATTTAATGGTATTTACTTTTTATAATTTAAATCAAATTATGAGAAAAAATTGACCAATGCATATTTTTTTTTAGTTTTTTTATCTCTTTGCCATTATAACATTTTCATATAAAATACAATTTTAATAAGGTTTCATGATTAAGATAATAATGTACAAGTTTTGTACATTATATTATTAACATGTCTAATAAGCTTGTATTGTTTGGAATATTTAATATCAATATATTTTTCATAAGGGCTGCCATTTATTTGCCCTAAGCTTGTAGACACAAGAATAATTTCTATCTATCAAACAATAATATACCTTAACATCACTTTGATTTTAAAATATGTTGAACTCTATATAACATATAGGTGCACAATTACACCATGATCCATTTGCCTGAAGAGTAGCTATGCTGATACATGCTTTCAATAAAATCAGTGACTCATGCATTGTTTGCACTTCATTTGTTTCTTCAAGTGCCATATCAGTGTATCTAAGATCCCTTATCTTGTCATGTGATCCATATCTTAAATAATCTAGATGTTTCAAATTCTAACTCTGTAATACTCTCATTGTATTTCTGGTATGTTTATTCTTTTAGCTGTTTTAGGGTCAGAGTTTCTTTAACATAAGGACCTTTTGCTGTGAAATCCTTCTCTGAATCCTTCAAAGGATTATTTGTTGTTTCTGCATATTAACCTCTTGCATTAAATTTTTCCCTGGTAAAACAAGCCTTTTTTGTCAAAGAAGCACTTATTAAACAGCGAGAAATTTTTCATACAATGTATGAATTGCATGCAATTTTTTACTCGATTCAATGGGAGTGCTTAGTATTAGAGTATTATATATGGAAGACCAGCATATATGTAACCAGAACTTTTTGTGCAATGTTCATTAGGTGCCCAAGCCTGTGCTTTAGTGTTTTCTACTGTAGACAGAGATTCTGTGGATTCTATAGAAAGCTGGAAATCTAAGGTATGTATACCTGGTTTCAAAACCAGAATATTTTGAAAATGCTATACAAATTTAACTTAGAATTCRGAGTAAACAAGCAGTGTTTAATACTCAATCATGTGACAAAAAATCAATGTAACAGTCGATCATGCCACCAAAGATCAATATAACAGTCAATTCAATCATGTGACCAAAGATTAGCCCTCATTTTTTGGAGARCRATTCTAGCAGTGATCGTCGSACAACCATCAMCTGAGTTTCAAACATGCTTGAAAATTGGCTGCAACTTCRCTGTGATTTTCCATTGTCRCAACAATCACAGAGCTGTTTACATAGCAAAGTGGTAATTATCACGCTGCAAAAATCGCAAGTGTAAAGAGGCCCTTACATTAATTAATTTTCGCTCATTCCTTTTCTAAAATCAAAACACATAGCATAGAAAAAAGAACTGTTTTTGTTTGTTTGTCTTTGTTTTGTAATTAAATCTCTCAAAGAATGGTGTAAATGTTCCAAGTAAAACAGTCCAAAAAATTGCTATTGGCATAATAAAAGATCTAATAATAACTCCTCTTTTTGTGTGTTTTAGGTTGAAGTAGAATGTGGGAACATACCAATGGTTGTAGTCCAGAATAAAATTGATTTAATAGACCAAGCTGTAGTACAACCGTAAGTACAAAGACCATTTATTAGTAGAAAATACTGCATGGAGTTACCGTAGATACAGAAAGTACAATATTTTTTATCATTTATTGGAYCAGTATTTTTGTCAAAAGCTATTCTCTTTAAAAGTACAAAAAATTAATGCATTGTATTATATAATAATCTAAATGTTTATACAATTTCACATTTTCACTATGCGTCACAGCAGCCATCTTGGTTGAAGTTCAATGAAGGATTTCTAATTTCCCTACTTATCTCTTATTGTACGTCCTGAACAATATTTGTATTTTTAGATCAAAATTTGTATTTATATTATCTGATAATCATATTTGATAATAATTATTTAATAATCGTCATTTATTCTAGGGACGAAGCAGAATCGTTAGCAAAGAAACTAAGACTGAAATTTTATCGAACCTCAGTTAAGGAGGACTTAAATGTTAATGATGGTACGTTTGATTATCATGTACACTTGGCATTTGTTATTTTTATTTAGTAAACAGAATTTAGCAAAATTCTGAACATATCATGAAATGTACTAATGTAGACATGTCACTAATGTATTGATTATTGCTAATTTGTCTTAATATTAAACCTAATTCTTATCAGAGTAACATCATCACCAAAAATATTTAGCAATTTCTCCTTCAAAAGGAGTTTTTTAGACACTTTTGCCATGAAAATTACCTACAATGCACCTAATATATGTTTAGATATTGTTAAAAATCAATTGTTCTTGTTTCTTGATTTTGATTCTTATACTTGTGATAAATAGCCTTTCACCAGAATGAAGTGCTTCCATGTTTCTGATGAAAATAATAAATTTATTGTACACCATTTTTGTAGACAGTAGTTTGAAGTACAGATTGAAATGACTTGTCCTAAAGATCACTACTTCTTCACTATGAATGTATTTACCTTGTTGGATTAAAACGCTGTTTCTTTTTTTGTCTAAACAGTTTTCAAGTATTTAGCAGAGACTCATCTAGACCTTCTTCACAATACTGCAGTAGAAGAACCTACTAGCACACAACAAAAGAGTGGTAAAAATAATTCTAAATTCTCTTTTATTATTAGTCTTTTTCAAATGATAAACTTCCTATTTATTTCAAGTCTATTTTAGATGATATTTAAGCAGGTTATTACCAACTTATATTTTTAAGCCTATTTTATTATGATTCATAATACCAATTGTCTTCATTAATACCTTAATTATGTCAAAAAATAAATATTAGTTTTGGTGTTTTGTCTTCCAGTGGCTGGTTTATTCAATGCTGGAGGACAGACAGGACAAGCACCTTCAAATAACAACGGCCAGCCATCCCAACAACCATCAACAGGAGAAATAATYACCTTGAAACCCAACAAACAGAGGACACAAGGGAAAAAATCAAAGCTCTCCAGCTGTTCTCTGTTGTAATCAAATGGATTTAGACTAATCTTAAAATTGAAAGTAATACCACAACTGGGGTCTATGATAAGGACTGTCRTTGTACACAGCAACTCAAATCCATATAGCGTGAATATGCTGTGACAGGAGGCCCAACCAATAATGTTGAAATTTTGATCTATATTTTGATGTTTGGTACGTTGCACTTAATTAATTTGAATGAAATACAAARGTTGAAAACAAAAATTAATTAAGAAACCAATCATGCATTCCATTGTTATTGTAAAATAAAAGCGTTATCGCTKTAAAACCTCTATGAATTTGATAACATTTTCTTGATTATAAAATGGAAATTAAAATTTGAAWAATTTGAGAAGTTAAGATTTGAGTGGCCATCCATTGTAGATTAGTCCCCCTAAAACCAAAGATTAAAAAGCAACTTATGAAATTTCAGAAAAACTAATCATAAGACAAGTAAAAGTTTAGATCCACTATCCAGCAAGATGATATAGACTATGTTTTTGAGTGAAAACACTAAAATTATGAAAAAATATCAACCAAAAAGTGCTAATACACAGACAAACAAAAAGATTCACAATATAATTTAGCACTATTTGATTAATATTAAACTATTTCATGATTTTTGTATTAATTTGGACGCTTGTACTTATTCCTATGAACAATTATTTTCGAAAGTTTTTTTTGTTAAAAATTAATCACCCAAGAAATTCTACCAAAATAAAGTTCAACCATAGATAGTGTTGCATTTTGATGGGAGGAGTGCAGGTCACTCGAGGAAAAAAAATGTGACAAAGGAGAAAGTTTAAGGGAAAACATTACTTATTTTATAAAAGGTATTCCTCCATTGATTCCAAAAATGATACTCTTAAACTTACAATGTCCAATAAGAAATCTGCATATCTCGGCCCAACAATTCTCCGTCTGTGGGATTCCTGTGGTACACGAAAACATAAAGTAGGAGAACAGCGGTTTTCTTGAGAAAAGATGCGCAGAATTGTTTGCAAAATGCATTGCTGCGCATGCTGTCTTCCTCTTTTTCAAGGCGCTCATCGAAGAGGTGATTTGATTGAAAAGTTATCGAATAAACATTGAATTTTCTTTAGAATAGAAATATTTACTACAAAAATAAAACCGATATAGTATAAAGTGGTCTTTTAACTTAATGTTTGTAATATTAAAATAATCAGATGGTCAAGATTATGACTAGATTTCGACAGGATTGATGTGTGTTCTTGTTTAATAGATCAGCCATGTTTACGGCTAGCGCTAAGATAGTAAAGCCAAACGGCGAAGCTGCTGATGAATTTGAACAGAGTGTTTCCCAGGTAAGATCATGTATTCATTTTCTTGAGTATTTATGATAAATATACCATTTGATCAAGAACAGTTGTCTTAATATTAAACATTTTATACCACCAATCGCAAGTATGGTTGAAAATAKGGATTCGACAGTACAGTCATTCACGTGCATATATTTTCCATGTCATAATAAGCTGTATTTTTAACGTTAGGCTATCTTGGAGTTGGAGATGAACTCTGACATGAAACAACAACTCCGTGGACTCTACATCTCTGCCGCAAAGGTAGGAAATAGTAACCCAGGGACGGTTCTTTTGCTTCTTCGATCTCCCAACTACTGATGAATGTCATCCGATTTGTTTAAAGCTGTTCTAAATGTCTTAATTTCAAAAAGTTGTTACCGAATGACTAGCATTTAGTTCATTATATATTGTCATCTGTTAAGTTTGATATATTCATGATCAATTATGAACAAACTTATTCTCTGATGGTTACTTATTCTATTTGTAGTACATCTTTATATACCCTGAGATATTCTCAAGTGTATCTTGAAAAAAAAATATAACATACCTTCACATAACTCAGTTTCAAGGAATTTCTTTTAAAGCATCATAYTAATCGACCCAAAATACAACAATGTCAAAMACATTTTGGGGCAAATGGGAGAAGTATATGGACACAARACCTAAGTTTATAAGCACTAATGACAGAATTAAGGAGTATGGTCTTATAATGTATTGTGTTAGCTGCCTAGTCTTGACAGTGCACAACTAGACCAAAGAGGATTGTGGGTAGAAACCACTTATCAATTGAACATTATCGAATATACCCATACTTCCTTTCAGTCTAGTTTCCAAGGTGTGAGACCAACTAGATGTAATGTTATGTCAAAAGACCATATTTAATTCAATATTATATACCTTGTGTTTGATAGGAAGTTGATGTATCTGGAAAAAAGGCCATTATCATTTTTGTACCTGTTCCTCAAGCAAGAAGCTTCCAGAAAATYCAGGTAAGATACAAGAAATAAGCATGCAACAATGATGCAATCTGTGATGATGAAAATGTCGCCCCAGTCTGATGTAAATACACTGACTGATTGACTAAGATATCTGAGGTTGATGTATGCATAGCTGTGCTTATAATAACATTTGTCAATTGGTATACAGCCTTTTGCAAAAATTATGAGAATTGTTGAAATATCTAAATATCATAATATCGAATGCATGATGGGTAATCCCGCGCGATACCCTTAGTCCCTTGTCTTTGTAGTTTAGGTTTTTTTTTGGCGACAGACTTATCCGTAGTTCTGAACATTTTCTCGATGTCAACAATGAATTATTCTAGCAAACTCGCGTGTTCTGGACAATATATGGATTTGGATATTATGATATTTAGATATTTAGACAATTCTCATAATTTTTGCAAAAGGCTGTATTAAGATATATATCCATATTTCTATATATGATATCAAAGAGTTAAATACTGTCTGATGAGTGCGTAGCACGAAACTCGGAGTTACAGCAAAATCTTGCCTCTTTGATATCATACATATAACTAGCTCTACACTTTATGTGTATTGAGCACTCTTTAATGGGATCAGCCACTTCCTCATACGATTATCCATATTTCTATTTAAAAACTAGATATGTTTGTATTATATATTTTACACGACAAATCTTATCAATAAGTTTTGTCATTTGGTGTAACCAAAACTTTAGCAGTCAGTGKCCAKTTGTACAAAGTGTAGGTAAAGTTATCCACTCCTTAGATTTTATATGGATTTTATCTAATGGACAAAAATTTATCCTGATGGACAGTGCTATTTACCCTTCGTACAACTGGCCCTAGTAGAATGGCAGGTTTAGTATAACAATTTCTCTGACTGGAGRGCTGTCTTGTCATGTTATTAAATCTTGGTTTAATTCTTTGTAGACTCGTCTTGTTCGTGAGTTAGAAAAGAAGTTCAGTGGCAAACATGTTGTGGTAATAGCACAGGTAAGACGACATCTCTTCTCTACACATCAAACACAAAGTAACTTTGTCAGAAAACTATAACAAACTGCATAAAACAGTTTTACACTCTTCACATCAAACACAAACTGGATAAAACAGTTTTACACTATCCTCCATTGCTCATAGCAATCATAAAATCAAGATCATTCCATGTCTTAATAGTCTCCTTCGCAGCCTCCCCTTTTGTCGGGCTTCCTGTCCCTCCCAAAAGAAGAGGCTGCTTACCCGAGCGGAAGATTCCATTCCCTATTGTATGCATGCAACAGCCACGACCAATCAAATGATAGCTACCGTGTAAACAATCAGCGACTCCCGATCAAAACAGACACTATGTGTTCTGATATCAATGCTGAAAGTAGTTTGCTAACATGAAGAAAACGCTACAAAAATAGCACAAAGTGATAATATAATTTCCTCTTCATGCTCTCCAGTAGACAAAGTTTGTATTTTTGGTTAGATGTCCGTCGATATCTCCGTTTGGAAACAAACTTTCAAGAGTTTGTCGGGAAGTGCGAATTTGTTTTTATGCCGATCGAAATACCACAAGTGGATATTTACATCACAACAACTGATTTACTAATCAAATAATTGCAACAGGATAAAAACGAGTTTGCCAAGTATTTGGTTAAAATTTTAACAACGGTTCGACTGGATCAAAGAGATATATCGCGAAGCAACGAACACTTTGCGAGCGAAGCGTGTCTTAAATAAATGAGCTAAACAACTTGAAATTTGCCCTTTTCCGTGAATTTCTCTTCGTCCAATACCACTAAATTGATGGTAGTAACCACTCTAGTTCTTTTAATCTAGTTCTTGTCATTGATAAGGTTTAGTAGAGGCGAAATAACAACAACTGTCTCTGATTATCGTGGTTTTTCTTGTCCAATATCTACGGAATCTAATACTTGATTTATGAAGCAGTTCAGATTATTCAACAAACAGGTCGGTCTTCTCCTCAAAATCTATCGCAAATAGCAGTCGTTTCGCGGAAATTGGAGTCGTTTTAGTAGATCTTAGTACGTCTTATGAGCATTTCAATGTCCCGTGGCGTTGAGTTGGCTCCCGAAATCGGGGAGCCGATCTGTGATTGGCTAAAAGCGGGAATGGAATCTTCCGCTCGGGTAAGCAGCCTCTTCTTTTGGGAGGGACAGGAAGCCCGACAAAAGGGGAGGCTGCGAAGGAGACTAATGTGTTAATGACATTTACATCTATCCATGTATTTCTGAGTGYAAYCAAATGKTTACCAACACCTAAAGATTTTTTCCTCATTGTGCACTGCATGCTATCAAAACAATCTGTCATGACTTGGCTGTGAAATAGTTATCTTTCATTCTTACAAGAGTTCTTTTATGTTAGATTTTTAACGTAATGATTGCTCAACTGAGAGAGAAGTAGTTTCAACAGTCTTAAATGCTCTATTTGTATTGTTTTTCGTGAATTTGCACTGCAACAAACTTAAACCTATTCTTTATCTGTTGTTTGTTTATTAGAGACGAATTCTACCCAAACCAACTAGAAAGTCAAGAAACCAGAAGCAAAAGCGACCAAGAAGGTAACAACAGTAAACTTTTGTCTTGTAAAAAGGGGGAGGAGATTGCAAAAGCAATACAAAAGTACAGGGGGGAGATGGAGATGGTGGTGGATTTGTTTTGCTTTCTTGTAAAATCAATATTATGAAAATGAAAAAAAACGGGCAAACACAATTGCAATTATTTTTGTGAAGAATGTACATTGTWAGCACTGTATTGTATTACTTGATTTAGATAACGTAGTCATTRTGAAATAACATGTGTACATATGCTTTTATCACAGTCGAACGCTGACTGCAGTCCACGATGCTATCCTTGAAGATCTTGTCTTTCCTAGTGAAATTGTTGGCAAAAGGATAAGAGTTAAACTTGATGGTTCACGTCTCGTTAAAGTGTGAGTAACTTTGAGGCCACTTTGATACAAAATACATGTATGTTGTGGACACGTCATTTGAGTTGCTACAAGAGCTGGATGAAGGAAGGGTGAGAAAAGTTAAAATACACCAAATAGAGTTCTCAACTCCATAGAGTTTRTATTGACTTAAAGTTCGAGTATTTTCAATCCAAACAAAACATAATGTATTTCATGAAATACTTGAAAATTTGCTTTCAAATTTGTTATYTATTTATTTATTTTATTTGTTGTGTCACATGTAATTATTATCTTGAATGATGAACATTATGCCGCCCCAGTCTGATGTAGAAATACACTGACTGACTGGCTAAACAGAATCTGAATTGATAGTATTTATAAACCAAACATTGCATTGATTTCCTGGAATCGTGACTAATGTGTGTTGAATTTCCAGGCATCTCGACAAAGCACAACAGACAACAATTGAACATAAGGTGAGGGTTTTTTAAATGTTTTTAATTGACTRGAGTTGTTATCAGTGATGAATTCAATGCCGCCCCAGTCTGATGTACATCACASTGACTGACTGGCTGTTGATTCTGAGATTGTGACTAAAAAACACTTTAAAAATTGACTGAAAACAACTGCTCACGTTGCTCACGCTCATGTTTGTGTAATTTAGTGAGTGTCACATGGTTTGTGCAACTCCTTGAAATCGTTGCCCTCGATTTGCAAACTCATTTTGCTAAAACTCCTTGAATATGATGAAATGGGTTTGTTTCGTTTTAACGTTTGGATTGAAATCAAGGGTATTTTTAAAAAATGGACGCTCATGGAAACGTGTTCAAACGTCAAAAATAGTCCAAAAATAGTCCATGAAAGTGGCAGTTTTGTGTTTTAAAACTACTTGTAAAGTCTTGGAATTTTGTAGTAAAAAATGTTTTATAACTGTGTTTTGTTGTTTGCAGTTGGATACATTCTCATCTGTCTACAAGAAGCTGACTGGAAAAGACGTCATCTTTGAATTTCCATCATTTGATTAAGCTGTAACATGGCCTAAAATAAAATGATATATATGCCCTTCATTGGGCTGTACAAARRTGTGTYGTATTTGATTCTATGCCGATTCGAACAATGGCGGATCAATTTAATTAACACTGAATTGTTGTCTGAAKAGCTCCTCATCCATGGGAAAATCTTGAATATTTCTACTTGAGCGAGTCAGTATAGACTGATACTACAGTTGCCCGTACTGAGCTCGATTAGGTTTCGTTTAKAACGAGTCTTGTACAACATTAAGAGATACAATTGTAAAAGAGCGTTTGGAGTTTTCGACTCAATCCACCCAAGTTTTTACAATAGATTAACCTCTGTTGCAGGCGTGCTGTGTGAGCGTATGTAGTTAGATGTGTAGAAGCCCTAGTTTCTAACACGTCTGYAACGGAGGTTGCGAATAATAAGAAACGTGATTTTTGATCAGGTTTTTGTGAATTTTAAAATTCTTTTAACTGAAAATGGTACTAAAATATAACTAGCAAGAAACAATGGTCTTTTATTTTTTTATTTATTTTTATATATTTTTTTATTATTTTTATTTTTATTTTTTATTTTTTGAAAACAAAAGAGACTGTAACTAGCGAACTCATCTCGTGCTTTGATAACAGGAATGATAAACAATCATCATGTACACCTGGATCGTAACACTGAAGTTCTGAAGCCAACACAGTGAATTGCTATTAATTGACATAAAATCACAAGTAAAACAGATGCTTTGTGTTGAAACTTTCATGCAGTTTGTTAACGTCACTACAGGCATTAAATGAATTGACGTCAAACGTTCCAAGAAAGAGCCTCTATTGTTCATCCAGGCAAGGTGATTRGGGTGGCTAGCCACGCCAATTTTTAGGGCTCAAAAATATAGAAATCATAGAAATTATGAGAAACAATTATAGATAAAAAACGCCTAAATCTACCCATCTTTCGTGAATAAGACATCCGCGGGTCCTTTGTTGTATTCTGAATCTGCCACTACTGAGAGAACCTTTCACGGGTTCATGGAAATCTCTCCAGCAAGCCGACTAGAAGTTTTAGTGCTTGAGTATGAGATTATTAGTGAGATATAAAGATACAGTTATGTAAAAAGATAAAAAAAAGTAGGTGAAATAGCTTACTGACGTTTCGGACGTTAATCCTTCGTCGAGGTAAAGAGAGATATGGCAATAGTTAGCATTTATTTCGGCGGCATGCCCTGAGTGCGATACCATTTCACCATGCAATGAAAATGGCTATTTATTGTAGTTAGTATTTGTTGATAAAGAATACAAGAAAGGAATAGATTTACGACTGTCCATTGACTTGTATTGTTGTATTTTTATTCTTAAATGTGGCGACATTATTTTCATGATTTTGTTTAGATTTTCGTCAGCAAGGCAATTTAAATGTCATCKTTTTGAAAATGTACTTTTGGACTTACAGTGTCAACATTCATTGAGATAAATATACTCCATAATGGGTCATAAAAGAATCATTATATTTGACCAAAATATCCTAGGCGTGGTGTGATAAATTGGTTTCATACCTTTGTAGACATGCCAGGGCAGCACGATCGGCGTGAATCTTAACGATTATACAATTATAGAATGTTAGTTATACTTAAATGTAGGATCACGAATCACACACATAAGTATCCCATGTCAAAAACGTTGACCTTGCTAAAACAGTCAGAAAACAATGTCGCTCATTTTTCCTCTAAAATATAACATTATTGAGTCAGTTTTTATGATTTATGAGTTTTTCTTGCCCTACTTCACCGAACACTTATCGAAATAATTGCCTCATAGTAAACACAACAACAATCAAAAGTATTGGATTTTCATTAACATCATCCATTTTATTGGTTTATGACATTCTGTGTGACTAACTCTCTCAGCAAACAGATGATGGACGTACATCAGTGATCATTATAAAAGAGACACACTAGTTKGTGTAAAATCWACATTCAATACAATGATGAACCAACAGTGGATCATTCTACTTTTAGTAGGGTGTGCTGTTGCCGCGCCGTGGCCATGGTCCAAACTTGAGCCRAAACGCGAAATAACTGACGAAGGTATGAGGTTTTTTATTGAATTTGTAGAATTTCTACTTTTCTTTTCGTCTTTCATAGTATTATTTATAAAGATTTCGCATAAAATGTATGTGATATATATATGGGTAAAATAAACTCAAACTATAGATTGTAAACAAAAATCTACTGTACTAGTGTATAATTAAATAGTGCAAGTTGTATTGAATTAAACTAATTCCTTTGTTTTCTATAGTTTTATCCTCGCTATTTATTACTACTTCGTTAGTAGACTGGTTTTCATTAGAGCGAGKTCATTAAACCCGTGAAACAAAATTTATTATAACTATTAAAGTGTAATAGTCAAATAGACACAAAGTACACAATGCAATTAAACAGTTGTGTAAAAAGATAAATTAAACACCGTAAAAAARTAGGTGTGGTAACTTACTGACGTTTCGGACGTTAATTCTTCGTCGGAGTAAAAGTGATGAAAATATGTAAAGGGTGAGTAGTTTATATAGTAAGAGTAAGAAAGAAAATAGACCAATAGGAGCAAAGTAGGGATGCAATAAAAGCGTACTAAGGTGCATTAGTGTAGTATCTATTTCACGGATTGTTTGACTTGAACGCGTGAAATACACGTCAATGTACTACACTTTATTGYTCTTTATTGTGCACGTTTTTCATCTTTTTKTCTTTTTTTTCTTTGTCTTTTCGTTTTATTAGACTTAAGYACACTTTGAATATTACAATTGTTTCACTTACACGTGAATAGACCTTATCCACGCTTTTTTTCTAACTCAGAGCACGTAACTAATCTTTATTAATAAGCGGGGCACAGTGGCAGCTTTATAAGGCGACTTCAGGCAACTTATATTGATCTTTTTCCGAGTCGAATTAGCCCATAATGCCACTCAATCCTCCACTCACTAAGTCATGACGTGAATATAACATATTTCTACATTTGTTTGCCAGAAAAACGAGAAATCAGGATTCGAGGAATACTCACAGACCCTAATGCACCTGCAGAAGCTAAAATTGAGGCTGTTAACGAAGGTACTAATTCCAGGAAAGTGAATAACATCGAACGGACATTTCAAAAATCATTAATTATTTAGACTTAGTTGGCAATCGCGGGATCTAAATTCATACCCCCGGGGGGATGCCCTCATACCCGTGGGGGGGGGGGCGTCGGGGTTCATACAACGTGCAATAAACGTGTAAGGTACCTTACAAAACAAGGAAGTGTCCAGTGTAAGGTACTGCCTGTAAGACTGACCTAGATAACCTTCCTTTTTGCCATGTACATAATAACCGGTTTAGTAGAAATGGGCTAAAAAATCGGGGCTAAAAAATCGAAGTATAATTCTGCTTTTTTTTTTCTGAGTTCCAACTCTTTCCTTGGCCACGGAATGAAATTGATAAATTGGCCTTTCCGAAATTCAGAAGTGGAAACTGATATTGTTTACGAAAATAGTCCACTTATCAAAAACTCACCACATGTAAGAACACTGGAGGACACACTACGACTTAGTGTTATTTGTAAGGTTAAGTCTTTTTAGTTGAATACTCAATGGGGAGCAATTGTTTAAATTTGCAAAAACAAGGAGAGAATGGATGGTTTTGTGGCCGCTCAAAACTCAGCAGATTTTACTGTGCCCTTWCTTGTCCAGTTTGTCATGTCACTAGCTTTTGAATTCGGAATGGCCAATACCATTTAACGTTTAGCTGCATTACTCAAACTTTTTATAAACCCTAAAATATCTCCGCAAAAGCCTCTTTGCGCTTTCTTTGTAGCAACGGAAAAATAGCATCTATTTTAGYTTAGAAAAAAGCAAAAACATTTCAGAATGGCTGTTTTAGCGRACATGAAAAATTAYGAGGACTACAACTACCATATGCTTTACTATACTGATTCCTATCCAATTATTATCTTACTTAGAGAATGACCTACAATTGTCTTTCGGAGATTTAAAACTAACACCTGAACAACAAGTCGAAATAAAGGAAGGTCAAAGCAATAATCTCGACAAACGAAGYGCAACACACTTTAGTGTCGACTTCTTATGGGCACGTAGGACTGTCCCATATGTTCTTCATGGTGACTTAGGTACTGTAACACTATTGACCGCAGTTTTTGATTGCAATTTTTGTTATATATAAATAATATATTATTTATTTATTTATTTATTTATTTATTTATTTATTTATTTATTTATTTATTTATTTATTTATTTATTTATTTA